AGCGAAAAGAATTGATATTATTTATATTATAATATAATTAATTATATTTTGTCATACTGGACGCTTTTTACAAAATATTTATTATTATTAGTTACACTTTTCTTACCTGCAACCTTCCTAATACATTAATAAGAACTCCACCATCGAACATTGGTTGCGAATCAATCGCTGTTATTATCCGATTTATTTTTTGAAAGGATAAGCTCTGAAAAAGAAAAGAAAGTTAATATAATCATACTATTATTAATAAACATATATTTTTTAATTAGATTTATAACGATTAATAACAGAAGAATTTTAAAATGAAAATAGAAAGATTAAATACAAAGTTTTAAGTGTTTGTATAAAATTATTATATATATCTTGTATTTATATTTTAGATTTCGTTTGTTTGGTTCAATTCTGTTCATCTCCTACTTCGATTTCAAAATTCTCGAACTTGATGGAATTTTTAAATCAGAATAACCTCTATGTTTACAAATAGAGTTAGCCAAATATTACACTCGCAAAGTATGAAAGTATAAAAATATACTAAAGTATCAAGCCTATAAAAAAACTATAAAGATTATCGTTCTTTATGAAGAAAACATTTAAATTGAATAAATAAATCTCCTGGATTCTTGATGCTCCCTTCATTAGCAATGATCCAATTAATAAGAATAGATTAGTTACAAAAGGTACTTCTAATGAGTCCGAAGGAAAGAAAATACCTCTCGCAAGATGGATTGGATGTGAAGACACCAAGATAGGTACTGTAATTGTAAACCAATTTCAGAACGGTGGAAGGAAGCTTTACTCACAGTTAATTTCTCCATGATTTTGATAGCGCCCTGTATCTGCAAGCCCTCGAACGTCATAAAGGATGTCTCTGCCTGGAAAAGGTTATGTCAATCAGTCGTAATACCGGGCAAGGTAATCGCGAGGGAGTGGAGCGATGGGACTCGCGGCGGCCACGGGGAACGGACGGGATCGTTCGTGCCTTACATTGTACATATTTATCAAGTTCGGCCTTTGCGCCGGGTCGTCGAACATCGCGTAATACTGTTGGACGAAGCCCTTGCCGATCGCCTCGTACGGCACGTTCATCGCCATGGTGCTGAGGACCAACAATTGTGACCGGTGCGGCGAGAATCAGGCACAGCGATTAATAAGACTTCACCTCCTTCACTTTTCTGGATACTCCGCGAATGTTCCGTTTCGACTTCCTTTCGAATATCACGGTTTCTACGAACCCGAAGCGGCGCCGTACGACATCCCTCGTGTCGGATGAAATCGAACGTACGAGTAGGAAACGAGCGGTCGCGGGGGTCGCGCGATTTGCGATACATCGAATTATAACGCGAGCCGCGGACCGCAAGAGTTTCTCGAATGTTCGACGTAGTTGCACTATAGTTGCACTCTTCGACACTCTCTTTTTTTACTCACTCTGGAACGGTTGAAACGCTTTCAAAAAATATTTCAAATTTCCATTCGAGTGCTCTCTAGGTATCATGTTCTCCTGTTCATTCGGTGAACAATAAGAATAAAATGAAACCTGGAGGACACTCGGCTGGGAATTTGAAGTATTTTTTTAACATAATCTTAAACGCGAGACCGAGCGTGTAATTCTCTCTCTTGAATAAAAAGTGCAAACAATTAGCTGTGTATGTATCGGCTAATTTTGTGACTTTTTTTTACTGAACATTTCACTTATTGTCTAGATGCTTGGTCGAAGACCTTTTTATGATGCTTTTTAGATATCCTTTTAGATATCTTTTGGATATGTATTTTCGAAAAAACGTCTTTATATAATGTCTTTATGACATTTTTTAGACATACATATTACTAGGGACCTTATTAGGTGCGTTTTGTTATATGCATAATGCATATATAATCATAATTTTATTCTTATTCATCATTGAACAAGAATAAAATGACGCATCATGCATATTGTGCATAAAATGACACGCACCTATTAGGCCCATTCCACATTACGTAAGCGTATAATTATAAATGATTGCAATTGTAAGAATTAACTAATCACAAACAGTCAAATATTCTTCTTCTCATATTCGACTGTGATTGGTCAATTGCAGAATGGGCTTTAGGGTATATCCACACAAACTTGCATAGCCGCATAAACGTATGCATAAAGAAAATTATTCGATCGCATTTCTCCTATAAAGACGGATGTAAAATGTGATTGGATAATTTTCTTTATGCATACGTTTATGCGGTTATGCAAGTTTGTGTGGATATAGTCTTATGATAGTTTCATTTTGCAATTGTTCATAAATGTATACAAAACCATTTATATATTTGTTTTGTCTCATAATTTTGTTTTTACTAATATTTGAAAGAGAATTGTGCTAAGATATTATTTTCTCTTTCTTTCTTCTCTTTTCATCACAATAAATATATTTTTTTTAAACGTATGTATTTACTAACTATTTTCATTTTCATGTGTTAAGTTAAATAATTTTTTTTTATCGGCCTTTATTTATTCTAAATTGTTTTATATTTGTGATCTGGGAACCTTATTATTACTTATTATATTTTTTTTATTATTAGAAGTGCAAAACGAATGGATGAGAATGCGCAAATATTCAAACTTTTCGAGCGCTCGTTCGATTCGGATTTCTCTCGAATTCGATTCGAGTTTGGACAATCGATACACTTCGGCTATTCGATTATCCTCTTCTCGTTAAGCCGTTCGATGTCTCGATCAAGTTCTTTGAAAATAACAGAATTGAAAAACTTATCGATCATATAAATTTTACCGTATATGCACATCAGACTACAGATACGATCAATCGATCTTATTATTTCATAATTGATTTAAAATGATACGCTGTATATCTGTGTACTATTACATTTTGCGTGGTAGATATTATCTCTACATGAAATTACATAATTTTTTGCTTATATCTAATAATATTTTCCTGGTCCGTAACAAGATACGATTATGTAATTTATTGTAATGAAAGTTAAGTATATATGTTCTCCGCTGATGCTTTACTACAACAAATCAAGTCTCGCCGTTACTTTCTTTCGGCGGCAAAAGAAAATCGCGCGCATCGAGCACATCATACGGAGGATTGTCGCTGAATATTTGCGTATCGTAATCATACGTAAGCACACGAATAAATAAGATAATAGACCTCCCTTCGCCACGCGCGCTCTCCTCGGATTTCATTTGCAGCCGTACGACGATTGAAGATAATACGACTTAATTTTTGCGATGAACGCAAAACGTACGCAAGTAACACCCATGCGATGCGACACGTTTATCGAGGCGTTTCGACGAGATGATCTGCGACTCGTAATGCCCATCGATTTAATTAAAGTCGTAAAAAACTTACATTTCTTCGGAAAAGAAAAATAAATAGTCATTTTTAATGTATTTCTTATTACTCTCCTATTCTTATACTCTTTTCTTATGCTCATGCATTTTGCGCCGAAATGTGCTAAATTTTAATAAATATTTGTTTGAATAATTCTACGTCAATATTTACTAAATATCATAGATTTATCTGATACAAAAATAAATTAATTTGATTTAACTATCTTTTGTTTATTGAGTAAGTGAATGTTTTCTTAGTATTTTTCAAAGAAATATTTAAGATTAAAATTGTTTTTTTTAGTGTAAAATTTTAATAAATGTTATGGAACTGACAAGTTTATATAAGGAATAAAGGCAACCACTTGCTTTACTTTTCTGGTAAATTATCAATCGTTGTATAGCTATATTGTATAAAATACTTTTTTTATATTTCGTAAAGGAAATTTTATTCTGCAATTTGTTAATTTGTTATTTCTTAATTATCTATAAATTATCACACATTTAGAATTTATTGTTGCTTTAGCGCTGATAATTCTTTATTTTATTGCAACGCGATAAAAAATGTAAGTGTATAAAGTCCTGAGAATTATTTGAGCTTACAGTCTTGAGAATAGTACGATTCACTTTATTGGAAGGTACATACACTTGTACGGATATACTAATTGTAATGTACTTTTTATCTTACACCTCCAGTATTTTTTTACTTTTAAGCAAGTAAACTTCGTCATAACTTCCGGCAAAACTCTTACGAAAAAATACACTCTTAACGGTCCGAAATGACACTCAAATTAAGTGTTAATCCTCAAGTTGGAGGTTTATTTAGGAGTTAACACTCAAATTAGATGTTATTTCGAATCGCCAAGAGTGTATTTCTTCGTAATGGCCAGAATATTTCCATTAGACTTGTAAGACAAATATAGTCAGAATATTTCCATTAGACTTGTAAGGCAGAAATAGTCAGAATATTTCCATTAGACTTGTAAAGCTATCCATTTTTCTTCGTGTGGGAAATTACTCCTGTTACGCTTGTAATCTTTTTGACCTTTTTATCATTTATGTTGAATAATGTTTTGTTTTCGGCCGAGTTTGAATACCGTAGCACGGTCGTGTGTGTAACGCTGATCGTTGCATAATCCTCCTATTGCAACACCATTGTGCCATCCGCCATTAATGTCGAAGGCATTGTTACATCGCGCTGTCCGCTTGTTCTTCGCCTTGAGAATTCTTCTGGAGATCTATACACGCGCTAGAACTTTAATAAAGTTCGATTGCGATGAGTAAATTGCGGATAGACGAGGATGAGAGCGATGGTTTTTTAAAAAGTCGCTGTCTTTAGTAGACGGTTAGTGAGCTGGCATTATGCTGGCGACGACAATAGTAGCGCAAATGAGCTTGAAAGATAAGTGACACTTAGACTAAAAGTATAAAAATGTAAAAAGACAAAATAATTATATATATAAATATATTTATATTTTTCACTTATGGGTACGTACCTTTCTTACGATGGCAAAAGAATATTCATATTCTAATAAGTTTAAAACTAATCTAATCTTACGTCTTACAATACTATTGCACAAAATGATTATAAATTTTCATCACAAAGCGAAGAGAGCTATGCTCGATTAGAGGGTTTCAGTGCTTAATATTTTTGGAATTTTAATTTCCAGTTCAAGCAAACTGCACATTGATATTTTTTGCCGATATTCTTAATGTTCTAAAGATGCTCATTAGTAGCATGAGTAATATTAAATTGCTTGTCAATTTAATGTATAATATTACGTACTCTTGTTTCAGTTTAAGACAGTGTTTCAAAATCGATAATCGCTGTAGTTTACTTGAAATTGCAAAATTCATGTCAGACACTAAAACCCGCTGTGAACAAATGGCTTCTTCACTTATTTATTGTTGAACATTTCTCAGTTAATTTTCATTTAATATTGTTTATATCTTTCAATTCACTCGTTAATATAACGCTCGAAAAAAATTCATATATACACTGAAAAAAATTTACTAATACTAATTTTTTCGAGCGTGATATTTTAATAAGTATCTAAAAATATATCTAGATACAGCTCTGAAAATAATTTTGATTGACTATCAAAATAATTATACAGAATATGTAACCGTTGATGATAATACTGCAAAAAGTTTTAACATTCTAGCAACCAATTCGAACGTCATACACATAATTATTTTGATGATCAATCAAAATTATTTTCAGATCTATATTTAAATTTTTAGATACGTAAGCAAATCTTCTCCACGCAAATATGACTCTATAACATAGTGTACTTAAGATAAATTATTTCGCTTATTTACAAATCAATTAGTCAACCTTTAGGTCGACAGGTACAATGACGTTACGAGATTAGTTAAAGAAAGCAACGGATCGTCGTGCAGTGACATTGACCTAATTAAGAAAATGATAAGAAGTAGAGGATATTCTCTCCCCTCCCTCTCCCTCTCTCTCTCTCTCTCTCTCTCTCTCTCTCTCTCTCTCTCTCTCTCTCATGCTCAAAAATGCGCGCTACATTTGTGTTCTATCTCACAGGACTGAAACTAGGTTACCGCAAGGTCCTTGCTGACGTTATCACGATACATACGTCTTAACGATCTTTCATTACCAAAAGAAGGAAAATGCCACGGTTATTCGGAAACGTTTGTAAACAGAGGAAACATATATGAACGGCGCGGGCGATTGGAAGAATCGGAGACGAAAGAGACATGTTTAAAGGTCGAATCGACGGTATTAAAACGACTTAGCGTGCTTTGCACGAGTGTGGCGTTCTAATTATAGCCGAGAGAGAGAGAGAGAGAGAGAGAGAGAGAGACCTCTCCGGCAATTCGCGTTGCCATATGGAGCACGTTCCGGGCAGAGCGCAAAGGGTTAAACAACACACTTCGTCCAGCGTGGCGCTTCCCGTGGCCGATTGGCATTCAGCGTGGATCGGCCGGTCCACCGGCCATTAATTGCCTATTATATCGTAACGTGGGTGGGCCGCGGAGTGCA